CAGGGCCTTGTACCTGCTAAAGCAGGCACTTTACCACCAAGCTACACCCCGAGCCAACAGGCATTATTGTGACATATTTTATAGATGAATAAACAGTGGTAAAATAACTAAGGTCACAAATTGCCCCACAGCCTGTCAGCTGCTTCAACCCCTGTAACAGGGCAAGAGTCCGTCTTAAGCCAGACCTCTGCCTGCTCCGAGCACCTCCAACCCAAGGGTAATTGCAAGGCAGCAACTTTACAAAAACCAACCAAAATGTATTTATTTAATATACATTGAAGGGGCTCAACCACACTTAATTTAAAAGACAGAAACAAAACAAAAATAATACCACAGCTCAAGATACATAGTCCTATACAGAAACCAAGAAGAGGACAGGCTACCTAAGGAGAAATCAACACAGAGAGCTGGACAACCCCGGTCAGGGCTCCTGGCTGGAGACCTGCTTCGAGTAGGTTTCTTGCAGGTACTTCTTAAAAGCTGGAAGAGAAGGGCAGGTCTCGGGTGAGTGACTGGAGACGGGAGAGCCCGTGAGGCGGCCAGAGGGCAGCTGACCGGGAATCACACTCGAGGTGCACCTGTTCCCTCCCAGGGGACATCGTCTCCTGCAGGACTTGCTTCCAGTAAGATGGGGAGGGTGCCAGTGACCCATTCTACCAAAAGACCCTCAAGTTCCACGAACAAGGAGGGGACTAACTTGTCACTTTAGAATGCACCAAGGCTGAGACAGAAGTGGCCCACCCACTGAGCTCCTTCTGAGGGAGTTTTTGAAGCTGGAGAGGGATCATCCCATAATCAAGAAGGGCCTACCTGTGGGGTTTTTCCAGAGCTCAGCAGCATGTGTGTTCAGAGGGCTGTCGATGTTGGGCTCTGGGGGGAGAGAGAACGGTCAGGGGTAGAAGAGGCCGACCCACAGAAAGCCGACAGGCCCCTGTTGACAGGAAGGGGTGGTCTCAGAAGTCACCTCCTAACAGGCTCTGGATGGACAGCAGGATGGTCCTGACGTCGTACAGGGCAGACCACTTGTCCTTGAGGATGTCCAGGCAGATGTTGCCCTGAGTGTCCACGTTGGGGTGGTAGCAGGGTGTGAGGAACTTCACCGTGGGAGCGTTGTAGGGGTAGCCACTGGGGAACTCTAAGGACAGCTTGTACCTCAGGTCTTCATACACCTGGCGTGGGAAGGAGAGGGAAGAAGTGAGCAGCTGGCCCTGTCCTCACGCCCAATCCAGGCCACCCAGGGGCTTGCCAGGGAGGGCCTTCTGAAGTTCTGTCTGAGACTGGACAGTAGACAAATTGTTTCATCGGCTCTGGGGTCTTCCTCTTATCTGAGGGGGACATCAGTGACCCTTCAGTATAAACGTTTACCTTGGCACCCCGAGGGCTGCCACAGATGTGCTTTAGTCCCATTAGTGTCTCAGTTGCTAACGTGAAAAGACTGGATTGACACAGATCTGGATTTCCAAGTTTTATTTTTTTTTGCACTGGGGATTTAACCCAGGGGTGCTTTACCACTGAGCCACCTCCCCAGGCTCTACCTCTGCTTTTTAAATCACAATGTTTTAAATTTTGAGAAGGGCCATGCTAAGTTGCTGGGGTTGGCCTCAAACTATTGCCTCAGCCTCCCAGGTTCATGGGATTATAGGCAAGTGCCACCATGCCTGGTCTGAGTTATCTTTTTTTTTTTTTTGGTACCAGAGATTGAACTCAGGGGCACTTGACCACTAGAACACACCAAGCCCTATTTTTATTTAGAGAGAAGGTCTCACTGAGTTGCTTAGCATCTCACTTTTTTTCAGAGGCTGGCCTTGAACCTGCAATCCTCCTATCTCAGCCTCCCAAATTGCTGAGATTATAGGCATGTGCCACCACGCCTAGCTGGTTATCTTAAACCAGATGTGCAGCAATGGGAAGTTGCCTTTTAAGACTTGTGCCCTCACACTAGCCAGTATTTGTTCTTTTACTTCACTGTTGTCTGGTCCCTTGGACAGTTTTGCTTTAAACCTACCCTTTCATTGCACAGAGGAGATAACATAACAAGGTCATCACAAGGCCCAGAGCTTGTGAACAGACACAAGGGAACTCTCTCGCCCAGCTAACAGACTAAAGCAGACCTAGCACTTGGATCTCACCTCCTATCTTCCCCCAAACTCAGCAAAGTGACACTCATCCACTCCAACCCTATACTTACTGTGCCAGCTGCTCCATGGATGGTCCCTACCCATTTGAAAAGATTGTCTGATTCAGGGAAGGCAGAAATTCCTTTGTCACCAGACATCTGGGGAGGAAACACAACCCTTGCTGATTTGCAGCATATACTTTAGGGCTTAGCAAGGTCATGGGTGATCCCCTGCCCTGATCTCCTCATACTCTGTTCCCAAATTGAGCCACCAACCCAACCAACAGATACATCACCAGGTTAGGGAGGGAGAGGAAGTAAGGGAAGCAGAGGCCAACTCTGCATTTTGTTGCTAATAATCGAAATATACGATATTTAGCGATTAATTAGCAAAGGACAACTAGGAAGGGAGAATCCCAAGGTAAGACCGGGCTAGAAACGGACTAGAAATACCAAGGTGGGGAGTTGGGGGTGGGTAAAGGGTTAAGCTTGTGGCCAGGAGGTAGGGAAAAGCGGCAGAACCGGGAAGGACTTGTGTGCCTTGTGGTGGGGCTAGAACTGCTGTAAGAAAAGGTACAGGTGGGAGGATAAATGGCTTCCCGGAATAAATTATACTGAACCTTTTTACCTAGCAAGGAGTCTGACTGATAGAGGAAGGAAGCTACAGATAAGTGGGTGGAGATGGGAGAACCGCATCTTAGTTACTTACCATGAGGGTCATCAGCTCCTGCTGTAGCCTGCAAAAAAGAATTCAGAGTCACCTGGAAGTCTGGATGGGTCAGTTTTCCAGGTGGAGCATCTTCTCCTGTTGGAATTGCTCCGAGCAGCTGTCACGTAGGCTTCCCCCTTCTCCCAGGTCTAACTCATCATCCCCACGGGAGGACCCTGGTGAGCTTTCACCCTTCTTAATTCCCGGCTCCTGCAGTTTGACTCTGGCAGGCTCTTAACCCTCACTACTCTGGCGTCTTCTGGGAGAATCCTGGCAGCGTACTCACCCTCCCTCCCGTCTTCCCTCAGGAGTCTCAAAAAGCAGCCTAAGTTCCTGGCGTGGCCCCTACCTACCCACCCGCTCCGGGAGCGGGCAGAAGGAAGCCCAGGCCGTGAGCTCCTGGCGGGTGCTCCCGCCTTCGGGTATTTACCCGCTCCAGGAGGAGGGGGTCCCGGAAGTCTTCGCTCTGGGTCCCCATGCCAAGGACATGCCAGGCCGGGCGAGCGTTACTTCCGCCCCACTCACCTCTTGCCCACAGGGCCCCGGGCGGCGCCCCCGCTGGGCTCGGCTCCTTTACGCGCTGCGGCGACGCTGGCGGCGGCTGGGTCCCGGTTTTGCGAGGCCATCCCAGCAGCGCTGGCAGGGAGACAGGAACTCGGAGAACAGGACTGCAACTGCAGGGCTGCGGGCCCGCCCGCCCGCGTTTGAATTGTAACCCTCCGGTAAGGTCGGCCAATCCTAGGCTCGCTTGGGTTTGATCCAGCCAATGCGAGGCCCCGGAGCTCTCTGTCACTGCGCAACCGCTAGGCCCGCCCACCAGCGCATCACTATTGGGCGGCGGTGGTTCTGCCGCTGAAGGCTGATTGGCAGGAGACGCTGCCGCTAACTAACGAACCTGCAGTGGATTGGTGGCCTTTGGAAAACGCCGACCATTAAAGGGCCAAGAAAACGTCCACGTGGGATGAGGCTTAAGGTCAACGCCTAGCTCTGCTGGGAAATAGCAGGCACGCCTGGCCAGATCCCTTCTTCCTGGAGGAGGTAGGGTCTCCAGTCTTGCAGTGCTGGTGCCCTTCCCCAAGCCGAAGACTCTGCTTCCCCTATTACAATGACCCGGATGCCTTTGTTGCAGTCCCAGATTATTTGAAAATCCTAGGAAACGGGTGAATGGGCTGATGTTTAGAACAGCAGACTCCCTACTAGAGAATTTATCGTGCCTCTCCAACTGGTTTGCTGTGACTTTGGGCCCGCCTGGATTTAACCCAGGCACCCTACCTTTGAGCTACATCTCCTCCCCTCCCCCGCCTTTTAAGATAAAGTCTTCTTAAAATTACTGCTGGAATTTTCTGCCTTAGCCTCCTGAGTAGCTGGAATTATAGGCGTGCACTACTGCGCCCCGCCCTGTTTTAACCTGTAATCCCAGCTGCTCAGGAGGCTGAGGGTGGAGGATCTCAAATTCAAAACCAGCCTCAGCAATTTAGCGAGGCCCTAAACAGCTTAGTGAGACTCCATCTCAAAAACAAAAAAAAAAAAAAAAAAAAAAAAAAAAAAAAAACCACCCCCAAAAAAAAAAAAAAAAAAAAAAAACCCCCCCCCCAAAAAACCCCTAAGGTGGGGATGAGGATGTATGTAGCTCAGTTAGTTAAGTAGGAACAAAGCATGAGCAAGGCCCAGGGTTCAATCCCCAGCACCCCCTCGGCCCAACACACAGGTACACACACAAAACAACCAAAAAAAAAAAAAAAAAAAAAAAGGAACAAAAAAAGCTGGGTGTGGTGATGCATCCCTGTAATCACAGTGGCTGGGGAGGCTGAGGCTAGAAGACGGCAAGTTCAGATCCAGCCTCATCAACTTAGGCCCTAAGCAACTTAGTGAGAGACCCTGTCTCAAAATGAAAAATAATAAGGGCTAGGGATGTGGCTCAGTGGTTAAGCGCCCCTGGGTCCAATCACGGGTACCAAAAACAAACACAAGCCATCGCATTCTGCCACATTCATGCATTAGTTGGAAAAAACCCCAAGAAACCGGGAACAAGGAAGGATGGCAAAGTATATGTTCCCAGTTTTGTCTTCTAAAACCTGGGTCAATGAGATGGGGGAGAAGTACTTGTCCTTCTTTCCTGCACCCACTTCCAGAGCCCTTGATGTGCTGTCAGCCCCCACAAGGCAGACTACCCAGCAGGCTCACCATCTGTGTTTATTACAAACTGTTTTAATTGCTTCTTATCCCAATAACTTTACAAATATAGAACCATATGCCAGTCTGGGGGTGCTCTGCAGTGAGTCACTGCAAACTAGCCCATGCACAGCTTAATGCCGCTGAGATCCACCTAGGAAGAGACCCAGTGGTGGCCTCAGCTGTGTGGGGAAGAGGGTCTTAGAGGTGGGCTGCCAAATGTAGCCAGGGGTCCTGGCCTCAGGTCTGTGGAGGTGCTTCAGCAGAGCGATGCTCATTCTCTGTCCGTAGTGTCTCCATGTACTTTCGCATCTTCTCAACCATCCAGGAGGGTAGGACAAAGGACTTCAGCTCCTCTAACTTCAGATCCAGGCATCCTCTACAATAGACATTGAGGAGGAAAGTTAAAGCAAAGGAAGATGTGGGCCTCGCCCCATCCCAGGGGCCACTTTTGAGGCAGAGGAGAGGGTGGGGGACAGAAGACCTGCTGGCTTTACCTGTAGTCATCACTGGCAGCAAGGTCCCGGATGTCCTCCTCGATGAGGAGGTAGGCCTGCCAGGAAGAAAGGAGAATAGCCAATGCCCATTTCATTTTATGCCACCTTGATAACACTTTATTAAACATGTTGCGCCTGCTTCAGTAGGGAAGAGTAAGTATGGAAAGGCTGTCAGGAGAATGGTTCCTTGAGAAAATCTTTCACTCACATGTGAACTTTAGTGGGGGAGAATAGGGACTGGTGACTATTTTTTAAATAAAAAAGAATTTCTTTTTGAGATGGGGGGGTTTATTTTGTTTTTGTTTTTATGGTGCAGAGGATTGAACCTAGGGCAATTACGATAACTTGTTTTGAGCTTTGTGGCAAAAGAGAGAACATGATAAATAGCACTGTGGTCTAGTAATGGGGCTGCACTGTACTGCCCTGGGCCCTGTAGAATGGCATTGCCCGCTGTGGTCTGCAGGGGGCCAGGGTCCTCTTGTGAGCTCACTTTACAGGGGATGTTATTCACCATAGAAGAAACTCTTCTGTGGGACACTCTGGTTCCAGTCTTAGGGTCAGGACTAATTGTGAGTCCCTTAAGTAATTTGCCTTCATCTTGTGGGTTCTGTGAACTATGTAACAGATCAAGTGTCCTTGAAAGGGGCCTAGAGATGAATCCACAACTACTCAAAGAAGGTCTCCCAGGTCAGCAATGGGAAAAAACCCAACTTTTTCCTAAACTACTGTTGGTGGGTGGCTTAACTTTAAGTTCTGTTCCCGTTACCCATCAATTTATTATTTATATATAAGTAGTAAGTTTCTTTAAATATTTTGTCAAATGAAGTGTGGGCACAGTATACAATAAAATAAAAGTAGCTTTCATTGTCAGAAAGGAGATGGCACACCAGTTTACAAGGCCTTTAGATTCTATCAGGAGCGGTCCCAGTAGAGGGACTGAGTCATCAGGTGACATTGCATGTGATGGGCAAAGCCCTACAAATTATTTTAGGATAGATACCACAACAGCTTTCCTAAGGTTACTGCTCGATTTAACTGAGAACTCTTAGAGTGGAAGCGAGCCTGGGAGGGGCTGCCGGGCATGGCACACCTTTCATTGTATGTGCAAACTCCTACTGACAACGAGTGCTGCCTGGAGTACTGTGTTGAGAAGATTCTAGAGCTGTTTAGAAGAAGACTGTGGTGATCAATGAGTTAAATGCACCCATGGGCATGCAAGGGAAAAGTACTATGAAGTATTAAACTGCCCATTCCTATGTACAACTAATACGATCCAAAAAAAGTGGTCTTGGAAATGGGTGGGAGGGAAAGTGAGGAGCTAAAGAACACTACCGATAGGGAAGGGAACATAGGGATTACGGTCTGCTCTTGAGCGTGAAGCAATGGGCCTTGTATGTCCCTTGCCACATCCTTAAGGCTTAGGAAATCTTACAGACTTTGAAGGTAAGCTGTCACGAATAGCCAGAATCCTGGTCCTTGTGCAGGGTGGGCCTTGGGCAGTATGTGAGTGAACAAGACTTACCATCTTCCCGCCTGTTGCCCGCATGTGATGCTGCTCAGCCAGCCAGTGCTTGTCCTGGGGGTCAGCTGCATACTGTGAGGGATGAAGTTACACGAGGAGACATTAGCCTCGTGTGAAGGGCCTTCCTCCTGGTCCCTGAGCAGTTCTTATCACAAGACCTTGTCTAGCATGTACATAAAGAGGCCTCACTAATCTCCAGAGTAAGCCCAGGCAGCCAGGGATTGTGAACTAATCCCAAAGATTTAATAATACACTCCGAATCCTCACACGCTTCCTTTCTCAAAACATAGAATCAATTTTTGGGTGAAAAAAATAAAACCAGAGATAACTATGTACAGTATCATCTGAATAAGTAAAATATCAGTAGAGGGCAAGGACACAGGCATGCACACTATGCCTGCACACACACTCTAGGCACATGCTCACAGAGAAGGATATGTACCACTGTGGTTGCTGGTGACCTCAGGGTGAGGGGCACTCGTGTCTTATTCCCTATTACCTCCTGTGTATTGCTTGAATCTTTTAATGAGAAGAATGAATTTATATCTCTGTGATTACAAAGTTTAAAAGAGGAAATGAAGAATTCAAATAATGTCTTTTGAAGGATGGAAAAATAGGCCAAAATGTACTAAGCAGTTTACAGAACAAATACAAATAGATTGTAAATAACTAAAAAGATGCTTATGATCATTAACAGAGAACTGTGAAGGAAAACAATAAAAAGTTTCCCTTCATTTATTAGAATGAAAAAATTAAAAAAAAAGAGGTAACACCCACAGTAAAGAGAAAGGGGGTTGGGGGCTTATTACAGAAAATAGGTCTTAGAATTGGGGAACTATGCTAATAAAAATGATTAACACTTGCTGAGTCCCTTTGTATGTGACAGGATTATGCTGGGTGCTTTACTACATTCTCTCTTAATTAACCCCAAGAGGTTGGTCTATCATCATTCTCATTTTACATTTTGTATATGACAAAACAGACTCAGAAATGTGGAGCCATTTGCTTAAGGTCACATGGCTGAGCTGGTAAGGGATAGAACCCGGATTGAAATCATACTCTTAACCATGTTGATGGGAATTCACAGCAAGTCCCAGAGAATATCCATCTAGGGGAGGACACAAGTAGGGTTCTTGGGGGAGGCAGATGTTAAATAACAGGAAGATAAAGTGGAGGAGAAAGTTCTTCTGGGTGAAGGGAACAGCAGAAGTAAAGACACTAAGAGAGGAAAATAAAGTAGCAAGTTGGCTACTTCTGTGTGTTGGAAGCCCTGGGTCAGAATGCTGGGAAACAGCCAGCAGTTTTGCCCCTCAAAGCACTCAAAGAGCTGCACAGGGTGTGGCAGGCAGATCCTATGATTCTGGGATCCCAAAGGGGCTACACAGTTCTGGCAAGAAGCAGCAAGCCTTATGTATAGGTGCAAAAAACTGTCTGGAACAAATATGCAGTACTATTTTTTTTTTTTGAACCAGGGAATGAACTCAGGGGTACCTAAGCACTGAGCCACATCCCCAGCCCTTTGTTGTATTTTATTTAGAGACAGGGTCTTGCTGAGTTGCTTAGGGCCTCAATAAGTTTTTGAGGCTGACTTTGAACTTGTGATCTTCCTGTCTCAGCCTCCTGAACCACGGGGATTACAGGTGTGTGCCAGTGTACTATATTTTAATCTATGTGGATGTTTTGTAATTGATGAAATACAAATCCATCTAAGAGTGAATTAACTTAAGATCTCCCCTATTATTTCCTCAAACAGTGGAAATCACAGCAAGCTGCTGATTTTTGAAGAGGGGAGCCTGCCTTGCTCCAGCTGCTTTATTTCACAGACAACTGGATACAGGGGCTGAGCGCTTGGCTCTGGTGACAGCAGTCCTGGATTTGATTCTGACTCATTACTTACCAGCTGAGTAACTCTGGCCAAGTCATTAGCCTTCCCAGACATCTACTTTTTTCACCTTTGGATAAATATAACAATACTTTTTTTGTCCTTCCTTGAGGCAGATCTCCCTGTGTTGTCCAGGCTGGCCTCAAAACTCCTGGGCTCAAGCAGTTCCCCCTCCTCAGCCTCCCACGTCTAGGATTATAGGTTCACATCACCACACCTGGCTAATGCCATCATATATATATTTGTACTGGAGACTGAACCCAGGGTGTTGCACCACTGAGCTACATCACTAGTCCTTTTTATTTTGAGTCAGGGTCTTGCTAAGCTGTTGAGGCTGGCGTCTGATTGTGCTCTTCCTGACCCAGCCTCCTGTGTTGCTGGGATTACAGGCATGTACCACCACGCCTGGCTACAATATCTATCTTAAAGATATTGTAGACATCATGTAAGTGTGGCTTTTAAAACTGTGTTTGACACACAATCATTATGCAAGGAAAGCAGCTGTGATCACTGAGGCAAAGTAGTCTGAGTAAATCACAAGAGGTAAAAAAGTGAATGAGGAAGAAGCAACCAGAACCCAGATCAGTGTGTGTTCCAAGCTTGTCTGTGCTATGTACAAGTCCCAATGCCATCTGCTCCCAATGCAATGGCCTGCCAACCTCCTAGCACTCACCTACCTTAAAGAGATGTGGGTGCTTGATGTAGATTCTCCCTCTGGTGCCCCCCATCCCTAGGGCCCTGAAAGTAAAAGATGAGTGGTAAGGATTCCATCAGGCAGAGCCTCTAGTAGTTGAGGCCCGAGTTGCCCCCCATTAGCACCAAAGCTCTTAGACTCACTTGTTAGCTCGAGAGCCCAACACAAAGGTGGTAGTTTCATTCAGCCGGGCTGGGTCCCACTGTATGACAGAGAGAGGCTGGTGAGGGTGGGGTTAATGTGGTGAGCAGGACAGAAACACTCTTGCCCCCACCACTTCTCACCATTGTCCTTATCCCTCGTTCAATAGCTTACTAGGAAATGAAGTACTTTTAATATACTAGGCCCTGTGTTAGATGGTGGAAATAAAGAGATGAATAAGAAACAGACATAGATACAAATAATCAGGCCACTATGTGATGGGGCAATGACAAGGCTGAATGCTGGCTGTGTGTGGTGCCAAAGCAGATGGTCAGTCAGGGCGTCTTCCTCGAAGAGCTGGTCCTCAAGTTAATTCTTAAAGGTGAGCATGAGCTGGACAGGGTCAAGGGGAGGAGACGGGCATTCCAGACAGAGGGTAGCACGTGTAAAGGCAGGTGGGAGCTCTTGGCATGATGGAGAAGCCATGAGCAATTCTGTGTTGCTAAAGCAGAAAGCCAGCCAGGGAGCAGAACTGCTGAGGCGGGAGAGAGCGACACGGAGGAGCTGGCGGTCACAGGAAACCACCTTTAAGGGTTTGTCCTTTTCTTTATTCAGGCACTGGGGACTTGTTGAAGGCCTCTGAACATATAAGAGTCAGCCATGCTTCAAAAACAGCTCACCTTCCAGCAGTGTGGATGATGGGTTTAGGGTCATGGTGACAGGCAGGGAGAGCAGTCTAGAGGCTGCTGTGATCAAGCAGAACTGAAGCAAGACTAGGGCTGAGGTAGGCAGCAGTCAGGAGGAGGAAGAAGTAATAGGGATTGAACTACTCAGAAGGTGGAGTCATTCAGCACTTGAGTGGATGTAGGAGGCAGTGGAAAGGAACAGGGACGATGACTGAGGGCAGCAATGTAAGGGAGGGTCAGTGAGGAAAGATTCCAAGTTCAATTTTGGATATGATGCTTTTTTAAAAAATATTTATGTTTTCGTTGTAGTTGGACACAACAACCTTTATTTATTTTTTTAAATTTATTTCTATGTGGTGCTGAGGATTGAACCCAGGGCCTCACACATGCTAGGTGAACGCTCTACTGCTGAGCCACAACCCAGCCCTAGATATGCTGCTTTTGAAATGCCTATGGAACTTGCAGGCAGAAAGGTCTAGCAGACAGGAGGATCTACAGGTTTTAAAGAAGAAAGGTTTGTGATAAAGAGACTGGGGAGTTTAGCAGATGGTGGTCCCTGAAACCACAGAGTGGATGATTTAGATCATTCGTCGAAAAGCTTTAGGTGAAGTGGGCCAAGGGGAGTATTCTGGGGACAACCAAGGGCCACTGCCGAGGAAGAAGTCACCAAGACAGAGGGAGATTTGGAGAGAACAGAAAGATCTTGGAGAGCTCACGGCCACCAGCTTCAAGGGAGTAAGCAGAGTTTAGAAGGCAGGCGTGACAACCAGCGGGAAAGCAGAGAGGACCAGGGGGAAGAGGTGGCCAGTGTCTTCCAGACACAGCTCCGAAGAAGACTGCAGTACTTTTATCTATTTTACTGGGCTTCCAGCAATTACTTTATTGAAATAAAGGATTCAATCCTTAAAAAAGCTTGTAAACAACTGTTTGGGAAGCAGCACAGGCTAGTGGTGTCAACAGACTTTGGGCCTGAGACTTGGCTCTTTCTCGCTAGTTGTATGATTTGGGCAAAACTCAAGTGTATTAAGAGCATAAGATAACTGAGATGATAATTTTACCTGCAGGGGAGTTGGCAGGAAAGGAAGCTCCTCACTACAAGATGATAATAGAACCTATCTCATAAATCTGATATAAAGATTAAATGAGATAAGTCAAACAAAGATTTAGGCAGTGCCTGTCAATATTAGGTAATAAGCAAAGTATCAGACCGCTCATGAACTTGTGGAATAAGGGACTCCTGCTTCTCTTGGATGGAGCTCGAGGCCTGTGCGTGCTAGGGAAGTGCTCTACCACTAAGCTTCAGCTCCAGCCTGGCCCTTTCTTTATTTTGTGCCTCATTCCAATTTTCACGTGGGATCTTCTCAGGAGGACCAGTTGCTGGAGGTAGAGAAGGGAACATGGCTGTGGAATGTGTGAACACATCCTATACTACCCCTGCCCCTTTCCCTCACTGGGTCCCCAGAGCCTTGGCTGAGTCTCTCTGGGATACTGGTCACTGCCATGCTCACACAACATGATTACAAAATTATACCTTGGGGCCTTCCCGGCGAATCGGTTCAGAGGATTTTGGCTTCCATCTGCTTGAAAGGAAAAGAAGAAAGGTGAATTCTCCCAGGTGGGCCAAGACTCGAAGGAAGGTTGCTAATGATGGTAGGGCCTCATACAGTCTCCCTTCAGCCCTGGCTCTGATATGACTGGGCAGGAGGGCAAGTCCAGGAGCTTGCAGCTTTCTCATCTGTCTGCAGGAGATAAGAGCAGCAGCTGCCCTGTTTTTGTTTTTGTTTGTGCCACCTGGGGAGTGAGTGAACCCAGGGCCTCACCCGTGCTAGGCAAGTGCGCTATCCATGAGTCACACCCCCAGCCCTTGCCCTACCCATTTTGTGTTCACGAGGAACCAAACTGACCTAGGAGGAGACAAATCTAAGGGATGGCAATTAATGTTATTCTCTCTCCTATGTCAGTGGTTTCAAACTATCCTTATTCCCCTTTACCAGAGGAATGACTTTATCTGCTTCATATACTGAGTTTCCATGAAGTTGTGTTTGAAAAAAAGATTCTGCTGCTTCAAAACTCTTTAAACCTCAGGGGTGGGAAGGGATGAACAGGTAGAACACAGAGGACTTTTAGTTGGTGAAAATTCTCTGTGTGATACTACAACAGTGGATACTTGTCACTTGTACAAACTCACAGATGAACAACATCACGAGTGAGTGTTAATGTACACTGTGGACTCTGGTGTAACGTCAAAGTAGATTCCTCAATTGTAACCAGTGTACCATGTGGGTGCCAGAGATTGATAACGGGGAGGCTATGCGAACGGGGAAGCAGGGAGTATATGGAATACTTCTTTATCTTCCACTGTTTGTAATGAACCTAAAAGTGCTCTTAAAAAAAAAAAAATGGGGATGTAGCTCAGTGGCAAAGTGTTTGTCCAGCATGTGTGAAGCTCTGGGTTCAAAATTCCTAATAATGTGAAACAAACAAACAAAACTTTGCAAAGGTTCATCCCATAGACAGTGTGGTATAGTTTCCCCTTACTAACAGTATGACCTTGGGCAAGTAATTCTCTGAGTCTTTCTCTTTTTTTCTATTTTTTTTCCTCTTGTTTTCTTCTCTTTTTCTTTGTCTGCTAAATGAATTATACCTTCTTTAAGGGGGTGGCTGTAAGGATTAAAAAGGGAAGTCCAAAAGGTATCTTAGGCCAACCACAAGCAATTGATATACACCACAATGAAAACGACTGTTTCAAGCTGGGCTGAACTGTTCTGAGGCAAAACCAGGATAAAATCCTCACTGCGCACCTCCTCACTCCTAGACCAGGGAAACACTCCTCTGGGATTAAGCAGGTAGGTCTGATTTCACAGGCACAGAACTGTGGCCTCCTTCCCTCCGAGACCACAACTGTCCCTCTGCTCCCACCACACTGGCGGCCTCTACTCACACCATGCCAGCTGCTGCCCGGTCATTTGACAGAATGTGTCCAGGAGGCCGTCCTTTCCTCTGCCACAAAGAACAGCTGTCAGAGCCCTGGCCCTGGGGAACACTTCCCACCAACCTCCCACCCCGCCCTGACGGCATGTCCAGGGTCCCCTGGTGAAGGCAGTTTTCCAGAGAGAGCAAATGATGCTTGGGAGTGAAACAGTGTGACTGTTTCTAGGGTTCGGCCACCGGTCCCTAGAACAGCCTAGAGTACACGAGGAAGCCCAGCACCCTCTCCCAGCTAGAAAATGGCTTACCTTTTTGGGAACGGGGCTTCCTCGATGGGTACATTCTTCCTCTGCCTGCCGGCCACGCTGGAAGAAAAGGGAAGGGAATCAGTGGAAGGCCCTGCCTGGGAGCTGTGGGTCTTCTGGGGTATAGAAGACGGATTCCCTGGCCTGTAGTCCTCTGGCTGCTGCCGACCCAGGCCCCTGCAGCCCATTCGGGTACTCTTTGACCTGGACCTTACCAATGGGTGGTGCAGGAAACTTCTGAGCCTACATACTTCCTATGCCTCCCAGCCCGATTTATTTTCCCCTCCAAGACCCCCGGACACAGTGCCTCTAACCTTTATTCCTGGAAGCTCATGGGTCAATCTAGGTATTACTTTTTCTCCATCTGAAAATAGTAGCTTAGCCTGAAAGGAAAAGATCAAGTGTTAACAATCACTATTTTGGTTGGTAAACATTTTTTTTTTAAGTGTTGATGAACCTTTATTTCATTTATTTATATGTGGTGCTGAGATTCAAACCCAGGGCCTAACACATGCCAGGCAAGTGCGCCACCACTGAGCCACAACCCCAGCCCCCCGCCTCTATTTTTTAAAAAATATTTATTTTTTTTAGCTTTTAGGTGGACACAATATCTTTATTTTATTTTTATGTGGTACTGAGGATCGAACCCAGTGCCTCATGCATGCCAGGCGAGCGCACTACTACTTGAGCCATATCTCCAGCCCAAATGCCTGTATTTTTTAAGACAGAACTCCAAACTGGTCTAAAGCTTTCCATAAACTGGGTGTGGTGACATACACCTGTAATCCCAGCAACTTGGGAGGCAGAGGCAGGAGGATCTTGAGTGAAGACAGCCTCAGCAATTTAGCAAGGTGCTAAGCAACTCAGTGAGACCCCGTCTCTAATAAAATACAAAATAGGGCTGGGGATGTGGCTCAGGGGTTGAATGCCCCTGAGTTCAGTCCCTGGTACCCAAATGAAAAAAACAAACAAAAAGTCCTAAAACCTTTCATAGTCCGTATGGGAAGACATGGTTACATATATTTATTTAAAAGAATAGATAAAATAGAAAGACATAAATACATGTATTTATTCACAAAAAGTAAATCCGAGGCTTCGTTGGTAGCACATTCCTCTTCTGCCTGCAGAGCATGCTGAAGTAAAGGGGAAGGGGAGGTCCGTGGGAAGCCTTTTCTTTTTCTTGGCAGAAGTGGGAATTGATCCCAGAGGTGCTCTACCGCTGAGCTATATCCTCAGCCTTTTAAAAATTTTGAGACAGGGGCTTGCTAAGTTTCCCAGGCTGATCTTGAACTGTTGATGCTCCTGCTTCAGCCTCCCCTGTAGCTGGGATTACAGGTGTACACCACCACACCCAGCCCTATATTATTTTATTTTAAAAAATAATCTGAGTAATGATCACTGTTGAACAGTTAGAAAATGTAATGAAGCAAAATTTAAAAATCAAATCTGAAATTTCATTATTCACAGAAAACTAGCACTAACTTTTCAATGTAAATCCTAATTCACTTTTCCCATTTAAATATATTCATGCTTTTTTAACTGAATACATTACTATCCTACATATTCCTCAATAACTGCTGTTTTTCATTTAATAAATCTTGAATTCTTAGGACATAACTGCTGGGGACATAGTAGTGAGTAAGATACTGTGGAGTTCCTTGCTTTATATATCAACAAGATGATTTGGGGTCATGGTAAATACAGCAAAGAAGAAAAACTCCAGGTAGAAGTGGCCGTCATCAGAGAAGAATTCTATTTTAAGGGGGGGTGCTCAGGGAAGGTCCTATGGAGAAGGCAACCCCTGAGCTGAGACGGAGCAGGCTGTAGAACAAAGCTGAGCAGAGCTGGGCATGGTGAGGCGTGGCTGCAGTCGGGTTGGCCAGGTGGCGGAGGCAGGAGGATGGACCAGCCTAGGTAAGCAGTGATACCTCCAGGTCAGAAAAGTTAAAACAAAGAAAATAAAAGCAGAGCTGAACAGAGGTGTGTTTTGGCAGCAGAAAGAAGTGCAGAACCCCCAAGGAGGGGGGACTCGGTTCAAGCAAGGAAGAAAAGATTGGCCTGGCAAGTAATGGGCAAAGGGAGGTGAGGAGCGAGGAACCCCGGGAAGGGAGGCCAGGTGGAGGGTGGCAGGGGCCTTGCAGGCCAGGCGCAGAACTGAGTTTCAACAGCTCTGAAGCAGCACTGATGGGGCTTCTGGATACGCTCTTCTCTTGGCCTCTGAGACCATGCTCCCTGTGTTCTCCTCCTCTGACCACTCTTTCTTAACCTCATCTGCTGGCTTATCTTCCTCAATCTGCCTCTTTCCATTCCATCCTCTTTGATTAGATATTCTATCTACTCTCATTGATGCTCACAGCTGCAGTTAACATCCACAAACTGAGGACTCTGTGATTTTTAAAAATCTTCAGTTGTGGCAGAAAGGATATCCTCTGAGGTCCAAACTTAGAAACCAAATGGCCTGCCCCATGCACGTGCTTGGACGTCCCAGTTTTGTTAAATCCAAAACTGGACTCATGATTGTCTCTGCCAAATTTTGTTCCTTTTCAGATAAGAGTACACCAGTCTTGAGCCAGCCGAAACAAGGATGCACTTGAGCTGGAGAGCCTGATGAGGACTTGACATTCCATCATTTGTCACCATTGCCTGAGCCTCTGAGTGATCCTCACCGCTCTCAAACTCTACACCTCATCTGGACCTTGGTGAGAGCCGCAACTTCTCCCTACAACCCTTTCCTCAACTGGTCATCCACTCCATGCCAGGAGAAGCCTGCCTTGGTTCCGGACCTGGTTACTGTGGTCTGAGTGAGTGTGCATCTGCTGGACTTAAAGCCTAAGGCTTAAGACTTTTGAACTTAGCATGCAGAGAGAATGTCTGTCATTAGCCAGTCTGATTAAGTGTGTTTCGTAGTGCTTAGAATTAATCTAGAATTGTTTACTGGGAACTGGTTATGTCTTTTGCAGTGCCTAGCATTAAGGATTGCTTAAGAACCTATAGAGTGAAATTGTATTGAGTAATTTGAGTGAATAAAGCATTGAAAAGGGGAAAAAAAGAGTTCACCAGTCTCAATGTGTAATTAATTATGCACACATTTATGTGGATAATGATTCTTAGCTCTTTGCTTAACTAGTCTGTAAGTTCTATGAGGGCAGGAAGCCTGTTTGTTCACTTGCCTGTTAATTCATTCAGTTGCTGGAACATTCGGCAAACACCTAGTGTACATGTCATATTCCATGGCTGGGAGTACAATGATGAAAAAGACTGTGCCTGAACTCTTGTAAAGCTCAGTATCTCAGCAGAGTAGGGGAAGGACTGAGAGGAAGGTGGAAAATAAGCAAGTGAACATAATAATTTCAGGTTCAAATAAATGTCAGAAATAAACCTGTGCAGGGCTGGGGATGTGGCTCAAGCGGTAGCGCGCTCGCCTGGCATGTGTGCGGCCCGGGTTCGATCCTCAGTACCACATACAAACAAAGATGTTGTGTCTGCCGAAAACTAAAAAATAAATATTAAAAAAAGAAAAAAAAGAAGAAATAAACCTGTGCAAATGCAGAGAGTGACTGAAGGTGAGAGAGGGGCTGCAATGGAGTGGTCAGGGATGGGCTGGCTGACGAGTAACAGTTAAGCTGAGATCTGAAGAAAAGCAGAGTCAGGGCAGAGCGTGCTGGGCAGGAGGATAGCAAGTGACAGTTCTGGAGGAGCGGGTCAGAGTCAGAATGGCTGGAGGAGGCCGAGAGGGGCGGCAGGGCGAGATGCGTCAACACGCAGCAGGAGCTGGTCTAGGAGGGCTCCGTGGATCAGGGAAGGCACTAGAGTTTTATTTTATCTGTAACAGGAAGTCACTAGCGGGTTTTAGAGAGGGAGTAAATGATCTGATTCATCTTTACAGAGATTAGTCTGCTGCTGCTAGAAGGAACTGGAAGCAGGTAAGAGTGGATGTAGCGCAGGCCTGAGATATAAATCTGTGAATCATCATCAGTCCAAATGACTTCAAAGCCAGAGGATTAGATGGACTCATCTTAGGAAGCAAATGGACAGAAAGGGTCTGAGGACGGAACTCAGGAAGCAGCAGCACTACAAGTCAGGGAGGCAGGAAGCACTAGCTGGAGGCTGGACAAAAGGAAATGAACCAAGAGCGGGAGAATGTTCCAAGAGACATGAACCGAGCCCACGTGACAAAAGCCACATGAGTCAGCTGAGCACAGTCAGGACCCACAGGGATGACAGCACGGGGTATGCTAAAAGGCTCCCTGGTGAAGTGGTGAGAACTCAAGCCAAACACAGCAAGCAGAGAACGACAGTGGGTGAGAAAGGGAGCCAGTGATTGCTGACAGCTCCCGTTGGGTTTTTTTTTTTTTTTTGGTGGGGGTGGGGGATTGAACCCAAGAGTGCTCTACCACTAAGCAATATACTTTTATTTTTAGACAGGGTCTCACGAAGTTTCCCAGGCTAGCCTCAGCCTCAAACTTGTTATCTTCCTGCTTCAGCCTCCTGAGTGGCTGGGATTACAGGTGTGTGCCACCACACTCGGCTTGCTGACAGCCATTCTTGAAGTGGGCTTGAAATGGGAACAAAGAAACGGTGTAGCAGCTGAAGGGACTGCAGGTTCCAGGGTGGTCTGTGTACTCACCACTGTATCCCTAGTGCCCCAATGAATAAGCCATATTATAAAGACACATATAGGAAAAAGACCCGGAGAAAGCAGAAAATGTTATTAGTGGTTATTGCAGGGTAGTGAGATTTTTCTTTTTTTTTTT